CTTCATGCACACGTGGGATGTATACAGCATGTCCCGGTGAAATTTATCACCTCGATTATCTAGCGGAATGGCGCGTCCCAAAGGCGACAAGATAAATGGCGCGTCGGCTTTTCTAAACTGTTTTTCGATACGCTCCTAATGGCGCGTCCAGCGTCGCGATGACAATTATCCAATTGTATAATTTTGCAGCTTCTAGGGTCAATTGACATCTAGGCTAGTGATTCACAGAAGCTTATACCTCAATGTACGCGGTAAAAACGCGTTGGTCCACTGGTTATCAAAAGTAAGAGTCATTTTTCATTATAATATAAAGTCACGTTTGCGAGGTAATCCCAATAGTACGAGCTCGCGCACGCAAGAAAGCGCTATTTCCCGGAATACTTTCCTCTGTTCTTTATTTGTGTCGCATAAATACCGAGTTTATACGGAAGAAAACGGAAACAGCGGACGATGGTTTAGGGCGGAAGCGACGGAATAAGGAGTCACGTCGTGCAGTTTCACCGCCTGTTGTTCCTCGCCTTCGTTCGCATTCGAGCAAACAACGGCAGTTTGTAGAGAAGCGAAACCTCTAACTTTTATCATCGCGCATTTAAAAACTCCCTGGATTTTTCCTTCCATTTGCACGCGCTCGGTAATACTTTCCAACGAATTGCGTACCTCGATGAATATACTTGTGAGTTTACAATCAAAGAATATTAGACGATTTAATTTCTCAAGTTGATATTTTTGTTTATGTAGCAATTCCTTGTTTTAATTTAATTAGAAACATGCAATCTTATGGTTCTGAAAAAAAGCAATTACGTCACTTCGTATGTGACTGCGGAAACGAATGTAACGTTAATCTCTAGTCTTTCGAGCAAGACGAAAGACTAGAATTCCAATCGATGCAAAAATGCGAAAGTATACGTGAATTCTGCCGTTAAATTGCGCTGCAATGTTGCACTCTCGATGAAGAAAACTCGCGTCGTTTAAAACTTTCTACGTGGACAAATAAAGGTGCAACAGGATTGCAAGCGCAATTAATTATCGCCGTAGCGAAAAAGTCGCCCGTATCTTGGGCAAGGAAGGCGCCTGTTTGCTCGGCTCTTTCGTCAATAAATCAATCGAATTCGCGAGGAGGACGAACGTAGTGTCGGAGTGCATTTGACGGTGCACTTATCGTCGAACGTGTGCGAGATCTCCGCGCGTTCGTTTTTCTCGTCACGAAGAAGTAAGGCAAAGAGGATTAGATAGAGGCGAAGCTAACGTACGCAATCTTTAAAACGGGCTATATTTAATGCCATGAGATGTATAGGTTCGGCAATGCATTAAATCCGGGCTGTTAACCGAATTGGTCATTGCAAACATACATATAACGCGTAGTACAAACATCACACGTAATATCTTTCGTTTGTACGATATATCATTGCGTACATCACGAAAAAAGATTTTTTTGGCAATAAAAAAAGCTCGTGCGTTTGTTTATTGTTAGTTTGTTTATTTCGTTTCGAAAAAGGCTATTACAGATAAATTATAGTACAAATGTTCCTGACCGTTATTTTTTATCAGATCCGGTATAATACTTCTCTGGGGAGGGAAAAATAATTGCGCTGCGTTGTGTATTTCGCATCGCCGACATATAGGCAGATATCTCTATTAAATCTAATGGAGTGAAGTAGATTGGAAAACGAAATTGGGGCGACTTGTACGGCGTATAGAGGGAGGAGATTCTCGCATCCGAGAAGCACGAGCTACAGCTTCCTAAAGAATTAACGTACGTCCCCTTATTTATAGTTATCGCCATTTAAAGCATATTTCCTGGCCGCGGGTAGTACGACCGCGCTGAAAATTTAATGCCTTCCGCTCCTTCCTCTCCTGCGCCCGGCCGTGCGAGGATCGGCACCGAGGGCGACACAATGCACCGGAGAACCGTTAATCGCCGTTCTTTCGTGTCGCGCCAGAAGCCAAGGCGCGTTACGAGCGGCACAACGGTTCTCTCTTCTCGTTCGAAATTTCGTCGCCGTTTTAATCCGCGGCTGTTAAATCCGAATAATACACAGCGGGAATAACACGCGTCTCTCTTGCTCAAGAGATGGAAATTTGAAGCAGCCGTGTGTATATATATTTTTTCCTTTCACAAGCTCCCTTACGAGTGTCACACGTGCGCTGCCCGCCGTCGATGCGCGCGTAATAATTCATCCGCGCATTCGGCAGCGCGTGTTACGCGCGTCGGCGGCGGTCGTCGCGCACTCGCGTCCGTCCCGGACTGAAATTGCGGTGTCGCATAAATTATACGGGCGAAATTACAGAGTCGCGCAAAGTACGGCGGATCCTACATGTAATTACACTGTTTCGCCCCAAATGATACCGGCTGACTGACATAACACACTAAATGCGGAATACTGAGGTCGTGTCGCTTGACGACGTTACTACTTAGAAGCGGGCTACATTGGCGGAATTGCCGATGCCACCCGGCCATATACTCGCTCGTGTCTCGCATCGACTTCGACATGTTTCGCCGTTTAAGAACGGAGAGAACCAAGTAGAGAGTGCATATACGCGTCACGTTCGCGGCCGGGAGAACCTTGCGCCATGCGTAAAAGCACATAGGCTGCCGGGGCATCAGTGCCGTAGTCACGCTCGCTCTTTGTTTCGAGCGAGCGCGAGGTCGTTGTCCCAATTCTCGACTCGTGGCTGTGTCTGTGTCGTCGTCGTCGTCGTCGTCGTTGTCGTCGTTCGTCATCGATAGAGATAACAGCGATAACTCACGATTTAGCGACGCGCCGCCGGCAAGCTAATAAATTTCTATGCAGCTAGATCGAAAAGAGCCGCGCTGGTAAAAAGATGGAAAAATTATTATTATCCTTTGATGTATATTTCCCCTCTCGTATTGAAGGCGAAGTCATAATCCGATATCGTATTTTATATAGGGGTAAATTTTATTTATTTCTCGTGTACCTTCGTCGCTTTTATAGCTTCTGGCATCGCGTGTCTGCATTATTTGATGCGATACGCGTGTTGTTAAGATAAACATTTTTCGTTGTATCTAGATCCGGATTTACTGTCACCGATAAAAAAAAAGTATGTGGCGATGAAAGTTTTCCAAGTTTCACATTTACGAAATTCGATAATTTGTTCCGGAATAAATCGAATTCGCGCAGCGTAATTCTGGTGAATTTTGTGTGTTCGATCGAGCACCGACGCCCGAAATTGAAAATGCGCGAGCTCAGGTGCGCACCCTCGTAAATAATCTCCATGCCATCTGTCTTAATAGGTAGCCTGGCTGGCTTTACTGCTGGGTAGAGGAGTGAACGAATGCGGAGATATGTTGTGTGCGTGTGTGTGTGTGTTTGTGCGCAGCTTGAATAAATAAACAATCCGGCGCTCCGGCTGCATTTAATATTCCGCGAGGTAACGTGCATATGCGACGATCTCGCGACCAAATGTCACGGTTTCGGACATACGTGTCACATGGAAAATGGAAAATCGCATAAATAAATATAAATGCATCATTGATCTGCGCCCATGGTCGATCCGTGACGTTTTGACGTCCGAGTTTATATCGCTGCAAACTTTTTCCGAAATAAGATAAATGCGAACCCAGATGGAGACATATGTGAATTATGGCAAAACCTATCATAGCATAAATTACGCATATGTTACGCCTAATAAAGAACACGCAACGTATTTTTAAGTTGTGTCAAGTTAAGTCAAATCGGTTGGACTGATCATAAATATTAAAAGAACAAAATTTTTTAACGGTTTCTCTCTGTTTGTCATATCTTATTATTTATTATAATTTTTAATGTAAGAATTTACTATATACATTTTTAAGCAAATGATAATCAGTACGATTTATTAATTCATAAAAGTTGAGCTCTAGAGACTAAGATTTTAAATGGACGGAAGTGTTTTTCGGAACGTTTCTTTAGATGATACACTCAGACGATTTTCATTATCGCTTGCCCTGAAAAGCGGAAAGAGTTGTCACTTAAAGCCAGTCGTTCCGTCTGCCGGAAAAGCGAGAGGGACGACGCTTTGTGAACATCACATGAAATCTACCTTGAGGGGTGCATTCACGAACTCGGGTCGGTTTCGTACCGTTTGCAAATTTTAAGTGTCGCCCCCGGCTTTGACGCCTGAGGGATTTTTCTTGCTGTCTGAAGTACACGGGCCGAATCTTTAACGGCGTGCATGTTTTTAGTAATTTGGGATTTATTTACAATGACAAATTATACGAAACAACGATTACGAAGCTCTGTTTTGGTAAATCAAGCTGAATAGCTTTTGACTGCTTTTTTATTTTTAGAAAACGTGGCGTTTTAATATACAAGACTTACTACATCAATGAATGATGACTTACATAGGAAGTAATATCTTTAATTAATTTGATTATACAAATCCAATTTGCAAATATATTAAATTAATTAAGAGATAAAATATCTGCGAAAATCTCTGAACGGGGCAAAATTTCGTATGCAAATTTATTCGAAGTGGCCGCGAATAACGCAGCTTACTCGAGCGTTTGCGACTATGTAGTGCATGCGTGGTTCGTCGTGTACACGGAAGAGCGCCATACACACGCAGCCAGAGAAAGTACAAGACGAAAGGAGCGAGAAAGACCCGGAGGGGGCACGACGCTTTCCAATAATTTCTGCGCTTTGTTGTAAATTCCCCCCGCTAATTCGTGGTATTTTCTCGCTGTATTTTATGAGCGGCTACCGGCTTTGCCTCGCAAATTGTTTCCAGGAATTCTCCGTATGCTGTTAAATTACTGTACTTTCACATAATATGTGTGGTGGATTTTAGCTCGGCGCGGCGGCGTGCCGTGCCGCGCTGCACTTCGGCCCGGACTCTAGGCTTCTCATTGGAATTTTTGCATTGCGCACATTTCCCGGAAGAATTTTATTTTTTTTAAGCCAATCTTCCTATTACGCGCCAAATAGTTTTAATTTTTCGCCCCCGTAGCGGCCGTAAGTTGACAAACAACGTTCACCAGAGATGTTCTCTTTCTGTTTCAGGCAATCGCGACGCTACCAAAACGGCCTGTGGTGAGTACGCAAAATTATTTTTTATTACAATTTTTTTTCGGGTTGTCGTCGATGGAGATCGACGATCGGAAATCGGAGATCGTTTTTCCGATTTTCTCCCCGATAAATAAGAAGAAATTATTACGTGGACAAAGTGTGAATAGGTCGTAACATTTTTGTATGCTCGACGCGAGACTGTTAATTTTTGAACGCCAAACTTTTTGCGAGGAATTTAGTAATTCAAAGCATTTAAGTAATTAAATGTTCTGGATTACTCTAGAAAAATAATTTATTGTTATGTTGAAAAGTGCATATCGAAAAAAAAACCGTTTTATTACATTTCTCTTTGCCACTTTGAATCATTTAATCATTGTCAAGTGATAATTATTTATCCTGAACTACATTCAGTTGCTCATATACTTCTTCTAATCTATGACAGTGAAAATCATTTATGGCTAAGGCGGGACGGTGAAATCGATCTGGGATAATTTTCTTGATTCCTTGGCAACGCGAGGATTGAAGTTGTAAATGTTTATGGCATGTACATACATATATATGTTAGCTCGAAGCAACGTGGCTTTCGCGACGCGAACGCACGAGTTAATACATTCCGCTGTGAGCACCAACGGGTGCCATCGGCGGCAACGGTATAAAGCCGGTGTTAATATTTGATTTGCCGGTTGCTGGGCGGCGATGCGCATGCCTGGCGTATCTTCGACACCCTCTTCGCGTTCCACCCCCTTAAATCTCACCACCCTTATCCATCCTCTCGTCCTCTTGCCCTTTCCCCCTGTGGAGAAACTCGTATTTACTTATCTGTCGCCGCTCTCAATAGTCAGGGATTTAATACCGGGTGGTTGCCGCGCGGTAAACTCGCGTCTCTTGTGTCTCGCCGATAAGAATTGTCTTTCGAACGATCTGGTTTCGCGGCCGGCGGGTTCAACGATCCCTCGCGCAACAACTCGCGCAACGGCACGATATTTTATTTCGGATAATTTTGGCCGGTGTTGCTAACGGTCTGGCGGTCGATATACCACGGTAATTTTGATGCAGTCGCGAGGGAGAGAGAGAGAGAGGGGGGAGAAGGAGGGTTGAAAGCGCACAGTGACACCTCGGAAATTGTCGATCGGACTTTACGATGAACTTGCTATTCCCGTTCATCCTGCCCTTCGTCGTAGCGCGCAGCGCCAACTCTCGTGGACGGGTTAAACGGTGGTTCGCACATCGAAACTTTTTTTTCTTACATTTATAAAACGCGAGTATCGATTAACCTTTGTGAGTGACGTGGCGAATTTACCAATCGTGCTCCTTTTTTTAACGGAAATTTATTAATAACCGCGCTCTTATACGGCAGAAAATGGTCTATAGACTGCAATCAAGCGTAACTTTGTTTTTACTTACTTATCCGACACTTTTCCATATAAAATGCATCGTGATGAATCTGTGTCGTACCACGTCGGTCACTAACGTATCATTGCGCGTCTCCTCGCGTGTTAATATTTAATGTGTCATCTAACGTTAGAACAGGAAGTCTGACGGTGCTAAAGCTATATAGGTATTTCAATGCATAAATTTAAATCCTTTGAAACTCGCGTTTCTGCTGATTAAGAAAAACATCTAAATTTTACATGAGTCGCTCTGAAATTGCACTGCTCATCAAGAGAATAATTTTCACATCGGATTTCACAGCGGGACATGTTCGCATTTAGAATGACATTTTTGTATCCTCGAGAGAACACTGAGTATTCCCTCTGTCGTATAATACGTTTAGGATATCTAAAACATTTAAATGTGCCACGAACATTTAAATGTATCGCCTTAACTCCCTAGTAGAGAGCCGCGCGTTTCCGTTCGTCGGAAAAATTATTTTAACGATTATTCGCTGTCTCTGAGAAACGCCGTACGAAAGCAGATGGTCGCGGAGGGATTTCGTAACGTGGAGCGAGAGAAAACCACCGAGTCCGAAAATAGACGACTTTGCGGGCGCGCGCACGTCCTCGCTTTATACGAGGAAACGAGAGGCCTGTCAGCTGATTGGACGAGTGCCAATTTTTGGTGAATGAACCGACGGTCTCGTGTCTCGAATACACACCCTCTTTGGTAGTTCGCCCTCGTCACGCGGCTCGCATCCGGTCGCGAAAAATATGAGATCTTTTTTTTTGCCAGCGCCAACGCCTGCGGAAATGCGATCAATTCCTATACTTAAGAGAGATATAGCGTCTCGATTCGTGATAGAGAAACATAGGGTCGAATATTACGCGTCAGTTACTCGCAAAATTCAGATATTGAGGCCGATATTATTTTTTATCTTATTATAACCGATGCAATAGTTACGAAAATATCAAAACAGTGATAACTACTTAACATGTATTGATATGAAGTTATTATAGGAATTAATGACGTAATTATAATACGTCGAAAAACTATTTAGACATCAGAATTCGTAGCAATGTCAAAATGTACCTTGACCAACTCGACGTCAAGTCCTCTAACGGCGGAGTTGACTCGTCCTATCGTGTTAAAGGATTAACGCTTATGTCTACCCCGAGAGGCGTGCCCATTACCGCGAGAAGCGGCTTTGATATGCTAATAAAGAACCAGTAACGCGATCTCGATGTCAGGATATTGTCGCCCGATAAAGACGTTAGAGACACGGTACCGGAAAGAACAACCGCGCGTGTGACATGTGTGTAAAAGCCAACAACAGGCTTAGGCCCCGGGCCTCCGATTCCCCTGGGAAGATAATGAAATTTCGCATGTGCGAGAATCGAAAATCATCTCCTTTGTGCGTCAGGAGCCGAGGTCGCTTAACGGAACACCCGGGAGGATCGTTGCCGATAGAATCTCACGGGTCAACTCGACACTGGATGCTGCGAGGGCCTTTTGCAACGGACGCAGAAGAGGAGCCGTGCATGCAAATCGCAAATGGCCGAATAAAAACATACATTTGCGCATACGTAATGTTCTTACGCGATGCAGCTTTCGTAGAAGAAGATTAGCGCGTTGCGTTAAGAAAATAGGAATATAAAAGCGCACGTTGCTTTAGGAAAATAGAGGTATTAACTCGACGGATTTTACGGCGGAGCGACGTAGAAATTTTCATTGCGGAGAGATGAGATTAGTCGAGGGATCTTGCCGCGTGAAATTTCGGGCGCAATACATCGGGCCTCCATTTCTACGTCTCGCTTTATCTTATACGCGCGCTATCACGCGTAATACATCCGACTGTATCTTCTATTCATTGAACCGGGGGAATGTACTGGCACCCTTTTCTCTATTATCGCCACTTCCGGCCCCGTATATTCTCCCGCGTTTATTTATTTGCGAATCCGTTAGACTTAGCTACCGAGAACTCCATTATGCGCACGAGCGTCTCCTTGCCGGCTGGCTGGCCGCAATGTTTCTTGGCACGTAGAGCAGGTCAGGGCTGGTGGCAGCGATACTACTGTGATAACCTTGCTCGATAAGCGTGGCGGCTTACGTTTCCGTTAAGTCGTGCATCCTGCCGCGAATTGAGTTATCTACGAGCCAGTATCAAATGCACGAAGCTACCGCCGCGATAAAAAGAAATTTAATCACCTTTAATGCCGACAGAGCTGACGTGACGGTTTTATTGGAACTGCGAGATGTTCTTTTCACGATTAATCCTCGATCGTAGAAGAAGATTGACTTTATAAATTGCTATCAGAATTTTATAAAGAGTCGATATACATTTCTTCTGTTTTCGTTATTTTTATATGTACTTTTTCTCACTATTTGTTACTAACGCAAAGAATAAAAAAATTGCATAAACTTTTTAATCTGCTAGCGTAGAAAGTAATTTGTTTATAGCAGTTTTAGATAAAATCGTTATTGCATTATCCATATTTAATGTTATGCGAGATTTTTGTCAAGAAAATTAGCTGCTCTATATGTATCTTTGAAGAAATCTTCACTATCAAGTGGCACTTTTGCCAGACTAACGAGTTTAGGGGGGACGCGCGCAGCTTCCGATTTGTTCGTGGCAATTTTTGAGCTTTCCCTGAAAATTCGATCATCGAGCGCGCGCGCTGGAGAGAGACGGAGATTAGTTCGCGCTCGGGGTGGGACGTGGTGGAGATGAGGCGAGGGTAGAGCGGTTTCCGACGCTGGGGATAGAATCGGCGGGATCATTTCCTTGAATTTAGAAAACTGTGAAAATCCACTCTGGATTCGTTGCAATGGCGCGCGCGCGCGCACGCGCGAGCGGGTCAGCTTACGACGGGCAAATTGGATTTCGCAGGCGCGAAGGGCGAGACAGAAATCGAATCGCAGGGGATAAAAGCGTCCGGGAACAGAGAGGGGAAGGGCAGCGGAAACCGTTTCCGTTCCCGAGTGCTCCCGCAGGAGCGGCTTTCGTGTTCGTGAGTTGGGAAACTGGCGCGATCGCGAAAGCCGATTCATCGCATCGCGCTGTGGGCTCCTTTCGATCTACCGGCTTGCAAATTGAAACGCGCCGGACACAGATGCATAAACGAATGAGTAGTGAATCTATGCTTACTTCTGTGTAATCATGTAAAATTATATAATTGAAACTGTTCGAGCATTAAAACATGAGAAAAGATAGGAATTAAGTAGAGACGAAGCAATTAAATTAATTCATTGATTATGAATTTAATATTATTATATATCGTGTCATAGGTAAATCATTTATCGACTAATTAAATGAAAGATCTTCGTGGATTTTTCGCCTCCTTAGTTTTTGATTATCATATTGTGTATTAATATAAATACTCAATGTCCCTCCTTTTTTGTTCATTTTAGTATTAATTTTTACTTATAAACGCATATTGATTACAAAGTTAATAACAATATGCAATATTGCAATTCACAACATCTGTGTTTAATAATCAAAACATTTAACGATTTAATTAAATTCTTTCCTCTTCGTCCGCATTTTTAGGGAATTCATGTTGTACGAATAATCAGCGCACGCCTCTTCTCATGTTGCGTTCTTTTCGTATTTGACGAACGAGAACGAGAGAGAACGTGAAGTATCTCGG